TACAATCCGCAAAGCTATCACTCAAACCATGAAGAAGAACCCTCTTGAGGAGCCTTTCAAAACCATCACTTTACCCTACATTGCTGGGATCACAAAAAAGATCTCCAAAATCTTGAATAAACACAAGATCCAGGTCCGTTTCAACACATTACATAAAATCCGTGATCTGGTTCCGTCTGTAAAAGATGTGATTCCGGACATACAATACCCTGGTGTCTACAAACTAAGTTGCCTCTGTGGTAGTAGTTACATTGGAGAAACCAAACGCCATATCTCGGACCGCATTCGTGAACATAAAGCAGACCTTAAACACGGTAGGACCAACACCTCGGCCGTAGCAGATCATTGTTCTAATTCAGTAGGCTCACATGCCATTGACTTTTCCAAGACGGAGGTTCTTTGTAAGCCATCTGGCTTCCATGAGAGATTCGTTCATGAGGCTATCCACATATACAAACACAGAGACAATTTCAACCGAGAAGATGGATTCTATCTTAGCAATCATTGGAAAGATTTGATAAATCATTTCAGTTCTTGATAGATTGTTCACGCTTACAGTGGCTTTCAGACAGCATACATAAAAACAAATTTCGTCTCCCCCCTCCTCTTTTCAAAAAATAGATGGACTAGTCCTGGCAAACAGCCAATCGTTGCGCGTGACGCAAACGTTATTTTTATATATATAAATAAATAAATATGCCGTTTTCAAAATAAATTTATGCAAACCGACACACCTGATGATGACCGTTTGAGTTATGGTCGGTGGTGAGTGTGTGGGTCTGTGTGTTGAATCTGTGGGTCTCTGTGTGGTGAGTGTGTGGGTCTCTGTATGGTGAGTCTGAGTCTCTGTGGGTGTCCACACGATGATGACGATGATGTTATCAGCCACTTGGTTGAGCTTCTTTCGTTTGTAATAGCCAGCGCTACGTAGCTCCTTACCTGGTAAAATGTATATCTTTCAGTTTAATATTTGGGTCTCTGTATCTTTGTGGGTCTCTGTGTGTGTCTCTCTGGGTGTCTGTGGGTCTCTGTGGGTCTCTATGGGTCTCTATGGATCTCTAAGCATATCTATGGATCTGTGTGTCTCTATGGGTCTCTATGTATTTCTATGGGTCTTTGTCTTTACGTTTCTCTGTGTATTTATATGGGTCTCTATGCATCTTTGTGGTTCTCTGTGTGTCTCCCACATCCCCCCACCAGGAACCCACCATCCGCACCACGAACTCACAACACGGATCCACACACTCACCACGCACCCACATCCTCACCACGGACCCACACACTCACCACGAACCCACAACACGGACCCACACACTCACCAGGAACCCACAAAACTCACCTCGTCAATAGTTTCGCTCGGATAGCTTCAGCAGAAGTTGTTCGAAAGGCGACGATGATGAAGCTGAAGCAGCTGAAGTTTAAGAAGCTGCCATCTCCTTCATGCCCGTCTCGTACTCTGAGGAAGCACGTGGTGATTGTGATGTCACCGGTGCTGACAGTGCGAGGGACGTTACCACGCCCCCTTCAGCCACGCCCCTCCGAGTGACGTGAGAGTGCGAGGCCACGCCTCCGGAAGCCGCCTCCCGCCCCGCCTCTTTGGGCGCCACCCACCTCCACCCCCATCTTCCGCTTCCAGTCGGGGCGAATGGCGGCGATGGCGGAAAAAAATCTGAACCCTGTCTGGGCCTCCTCGAGGTTGGCTCAGCCTGAAGATGTCGACACGGGGCTTTGTGTGAGGTGAGTCTGTGGGTGTCTGTGTGAGTCTGTGGGTCTCTTGTGTGAGGTGAGTCTGTGTGTCTCTGTGTGTGTCTGTGTGAGGTGAGTCTGTGGGTCTCTGTGTGTGTCTGTGAGGTGAGTCTGTGGGTCTCTGTGTGAGGTGAGTCTGTGTGTCTCTGTGTCAGGTGAGTCTGTGGGTCTCTGTGTGTGTCTATGTGAGGTGAGTCTGTGGGTCTCTGTGTGTGGTGAGTCTGTGTGTGTCTGTGTGAGGTGAGTCTGTGGGTGTCTGTGTTAGGTGAGTCTGTGGGTGTCTGTGTGAGGTGAGTTTGTGGGTCTCTGTGTGTGGTTAGTCTATGGGTCTCTGTGTGTGTCTGTGTGAGGTGAGTCTGTGGGTGTCTGTGTGAAGTGAGTCTGTGGGTCTCTGTGTGTGTCTGTGTGAGGTGAGTCAGTGGGTCTCTGTTTGTGTCTGTGTGAGGTGAGTCTGTGGGTCTTTGTGTGAGGTGAGTCTGTGTGTGTCTGTGTGAGGTGAGTCTGTGGGTGTCTGTGTTAGGTGAGTCTATGGGTGTCTGTGTGAGGTGAGTTTGTGGGTCTCTGTGTGTGGTTAGTCTATGGGTCTCTGTGTGTGTCTGTGTGAGGTGAGTCTGTGGGTGTCTGTGTGAGGTGAGTCTATGGGTCTCTGTGTGTGTCTGTGTGAGGTGAGTCTGTGGGTCTATGTGTGTGTCTGTGTGAGGTGAGTCTGTGGGTCTCTGTTTGTGTCTGTGTGAGGTGAGTCTGTGGGTCTCTGTGTGAGGTGAGTCTGTGTGTGTCTGTTTGAGGTGAGTCTGTGGGTGTCTGTGTTAGGTGAGTCTATGGGTGTCTGTGTGAGGTGAGTTTGTGGGTCTCTGTGTGTCGTTAGTCTATGGGTCTCTGTGTGTGTCTGTGTGAGGTGAGTCTGTGGGTGTCTGTGTGAGGTGAGTCTATGGGTCTCTGTTTGTGTCTGTGTGAGGTGAGTCTGTGGGTCTCTGTGTGAGGTGAGTCTGTGTGTGTCTGTGTGAGGTGAGTCTGTGTGTGTCTGTGTGAGGTGAGTCTGTGGGTGTCTGTGTGAGGTGAGTCTATGGGTCTCTGTGTGTGTCTGTGTGAGGTGAGTCTGTGGGTCTCTGTGTGTGTCTGTGTGAGGTGAGTCTGTGGGTCTCTGTGTGAGGTGAGTCTGTGTGTGTCTGTGTGAGGTGAGTCTGTGGGTGTCTGTGTTAGGTGAGTCTGTGGGTGTCTGTGTGAGGTGAGTTTGTGGGTCTCTGTGTGTGGTTAGTCTATGGGTCTCTGTGTGTGTCTGTGTGAGGTGAGTTTGTGGGTCTCTGTGTGTGGTTAGTCTATGGGTCTCTGTGTGTGGTGAGTCTGTGTGTGTCTGTGTGAGGTGAGTCTGTGGGTGTCTGTGTTAGGTGAGTCTGTGGGTGTCTGTGTGAGGTGAGTTTGTGGGTCTCTGTGTGTGGTTAGTTTATGGGTCTCTGTGTGTGTCTGTGTGAGGTGAGTCTGTGGGTCTCTGTGTGTGTCTGTGTGTGGTGAGTCTGTGGGTCTGTGTGTGGCGAGTGTGTGGGTCTCTGTGTGTGTCTGTAGGTGGTGAGTCTGTGGGTCTCTGTGGGTGTCTGTGCATGGTGAGTCTGTGTGTGTCTTTGTGAGGTGAGTCTGTGGGTCTGTGTGTGGTGAGTTTGTGGGTCTCTGTATGTGGTGAGTCTGTGGCTCTCTGTGTGTGTCTGTGTGTGGTGAGTCTGTGGGTCTATGTTTGAGGTGAGTTTGTGGGTGTCTGTGTGAGGTGAGTCTGTGGGTCTCTGTTTGTGTCTGTGTGAGGTGAGTTTGTGGGTGTCTATGTGTGGTGAGTCTGTGGGTCTCTGTGTGAGGTGAGTCTGTGGGTCACTGTGTGAGTCTGTGTGTGGTGAGTCTGTGGGTGTCTGTGTGTATCTGTGTGAGGTGAGTCTGTGGGTCTCTGTGTGTGGTGATTCTTTGTGTGGTGAGTCTGTGGGTCTCTGTGTGTGTCTCTCTGGGTGTCTGTGGGTCTCTGGGTCTCTGTGGGTCTCTATGGGTCTCTATGTATATCTATCGATCTGTGTCTCTCTATGGGTCTGTATGTATTTCTATGGGTCTTTGTCTTTACGATTCTCTGTGTATTTATATGGGTCTCTATGCATCTTTGTGGTTCTCTGTGTGTCTCCAACATCCCCCCACCAGGAACCCACCATCCGCAACACGAACCCACAACACGGACCCACACACTCACCAGGAACCCACAAAACTCACCTCGTCAATAGTTTCGCTCGGATAGCTTAAAGCAGAAGTTGTTCGAAAGGCGACGATGATGAAGCTAAAGCAGCTGAAGTTTAAGAAGCTGCTGTCTCCTTCACGCCCGTCTCGTACGCTGAGGAAGCACGTGGTGATGCGACATCACCGGTGCTGTCACAGTGCGAGGGACGTTACCACGTACCCTGCAGCCACGCCACTCCGAGTGAAGTGCCAGTGCGAGACCACGCCCCCAGAAGCCGCCTCACGCCCCGCCTCTTTGGGCGCCCCCCACCTCCACCCCCAGCTTCTACTTCCGCTTCCGGTCGGGGCGAATGGCGGTGATGGCATGAAAAATCTGAACCCTGTCTGGGCCTCCTCGAGGTCGGCTCAGCCTGAAGATGCCGACACGGGGCTTTGTGTGAGGTGAGTCTGTGGGTGTCTGTGTGAGTCTGTGGGTCTCTGTGGTGAGTGTGTGGGTCTGTGTGTTGAGTCTGTGGGTCTCTGTGTGGTGAGTGTGTGGGTCTCTGTATGGTGAGTCTGAGTCTCTGTGGGTGTCTATACATTTCCACACGATGATGATGATGATGTTATCAGCCACTTGGTTGAGCTTCTATCGTTTGTAATAGCCAGCGCTACATAGCTCCTTACCTGGTAAAATGTATATCGTTCAGTTTAGTATTTGGGTTTCTGTATCTTTGTGGGTCTCTGTGTGTGTCTCTCTGGGTGTCTGTGGGTCTCTGTGGGTCTCTGTGGGTCTCTATGGGTCTCTATGGGTCTCTATGCATATCTATGGATCTGTGTGTCTCTATGGGTCTCTATGTATTTCTATTGGTCTTTGTCTTTACGATTCTCTCTGTATTTATATGGGTCTCTATGCATCTTTGTGGTTCTCTGTGTGTCTCCCACATCCCCCCACTAGGAACCCAGCATCCTCACCACAAACTCACAACATGGACCCACACACTCACCACGCACCCACATCCTCACCATGGACCCACACACTCACCACGAACCCACAACACGGACCCACACACTCACCACGCATCCACATCCTCACCACGGACCGACACACTCTCCACAATCCCACAACAAGCACCCACACACTTACCACGAACCCACAACATGGACCCACACACTCACCAGGAACCCACAAAACTCACCTCGTCAATAGTTTCGCTCGGATAGCTTCAGCAGAAGTTGTTCGAAATGCGACGATGATGAAGCTGAAGCAGCTGAAGTTTAAGAAGCTGCCGTCTCCTTCATGCCCGTCTCGTACTCTGAGGAATCACGTGGTGATTGCGACGTCACCGGGGCTGTCACAGTGCGAGGGACGTTGCCACGCCCCCTTCAGCCACGCCCCTCCGAGTGACGTGAGAGTGCGAGGCCACTCCCCCGGAAGCCGCCTCCCGCCACTCCTCTTTCGGCGACCCCCACCTCCACCCCCAGCTTCTACTTCCGCTTCCGGTCGGGGCGAATGGCGGCGATGGTGGGAAAAATCTGAACCCTGTCTGGGCCTCCTCGAGGTCGGCTCTGTGTGAGGTGAGTCTGTGGGTCTCTGTGTGTCTGTGTGAGGTGAGTCTGTGGATCTCTGTGTGAGGTCAGTCTGTGTGTGTCTGTGTGAGGTGAGTCTGTGTATGTCAGTGTGAGGTGAGTCTGTTGGTGTCTGTGTGAGGTGATTCTGTGGGTGTCTGTGTGAGGTGAGTGTCTGGGTCTCTGTGTGTGGTGAGTCTGTGGGTCTGTGTGTGGCGAGTCTGTGGGTCTCTGTGTGTCTGTGTGTGGTGAGTTTGTGGGTCTCTGTGTGTGGTGAGTCTGTGGGTCTCTGTGTGAGGTGAGTCTGTGGGTGTCTGTGTGAGGTGAGTCTGTGGGTCTCTGTGTGTGGTGAGTCTGTGTGAGGTGAGTTTGTCGGTGTCGGTGTGAGGTGAGTCTGTGGGTGTCTGTGTGAGGTGAGTCTGTTGGTGTCTGTATAAGGTGAGTTTGTGGATCTCTGTGTGTGGTGAGTCTGAGGGTTTGTGTGTGGCGAGTCTGTGGGTCTCTGTGTGTGTCTGTAGGTGGTGAGTCTGTGGGTATCTGTGTGTGTCTGTGCGTGGTGAGTCTGTGGGTCTCTGTGTGAGGTGACTTTGTGGGTGTCTGTGTGAGATGAGTCTGTGGGTTTCTGCTTGTGTCTGTTTGAGGTGAGTTTGTGGGTGTCTGTGTGAGGTGAGTCTGTGGGTGTCTGTGTTAGGTGAGTCTGTGGGTGTCTGTGTGAGGTGAGTTTGTGGGTCTCTGTGTGTGGTTAGTTTATGGGTCTCTGTGTGTGTCTGTGTGAGGTGAGTCTGTGGGTGTCTGTGTGTGTCTATGTGAGATGAGTCTGTGGGTCTGTGTGTGGCGAGTCTGTGGGTCTCTGTGTGTGTCTGTAGGTGGTGAGTCTGTGGGTCTCTGTGGGTGTCTGTGCATGGTGAGTCTGTGTGTGTCTTTGTGAGGTGAGTCTGTGGGTCTGTGTGTGGTGAGTTTGTGGGTCTCTGTATGTGGTGAGTCTGTGGCTCTCTGTGTGTGTCTGTGTGTGGTGAGTCTGTGGGTCTATGTTTGAGGTGAGTTTGTGGGTGTCTGTGTGAGGTGAGTCTGTGGGTCTCTGTTTGTGTCTGTGTGAGGTGAGTTTGTGGGTGTCTATGTGTGGTGAGTCTGTGGGTCTCTGTGTGAGATGAGTCTGTGGGTCACTGTGTGAGTCTGTGTGTGGTGAGTCTGTGGGTGTCTGTGTGTATCTGTGTGAGGTGAGTCTGTGGGTCTCTGTGTGTGGTGATTCTTTGTGTGGTGAGTCTGTGGGTCTCTGTGTGTGTCTCTCTGGGTGTCTGTGGGTCTCTGGGTCTCTGTGGGTCTCTATGGGTCTCTATGTATATCTATCGATCTGTGTCTCTCTATGGGTCTGTATGTATTTCTATGGGTCTTTGTCTTTACGATTCTCTGTGTATTTATATGGGTCTCTATGCATCTTTGTGGTTCTCTGTGTGTCTCCAACATCCCCCCACCAGGAACCCACCATCCGCAACACGAACCCACAACACGGACCCACACACTCACCAGGAACCCACAAAACTCATCTCGTCAATAGTTTCGCTCGGATAGCTTAAAGCAGAAGTTGTTCGAAAGGCGACGATGATGAAGCTAAAGCAGCTGAAGTTTAAGAAGCTGCTGTCTCCTTCACGCCCGTCTCGTACGCTGAGGAAGCACGTGGTGATGCGACATCACCGGTGCTGTCACAGTGCGAGGGACGTTACCACGTACCCTGCAGCCACGCCACTCCGAGTGAAGTGCCAGTGCGAGACCACGCCCCCAGAAGCCGCCTCACGCCCCGCCTCTTTGGGCGCCCCCCACCTCCACCCCCAGCTTCTACTTCCGCTTCCGGTCGGGGCGAATGGCGGTGATGGCATGAAAAATCTGAACCCTGTCTGGGCCTCCTCGAGGTCGGCTCAGCCTGAAGATGCCGACACGGGGCTTTGTGTGAGGTGAGTCTGTGGGTGTCTGTGTGAGTCTGTGGGTCTCTGTGGAGAGTGTGTGGGTCTGTATGTTGAGTCTGTGGGCCTCTGTGTGGTGAGTGTGTGGGTCTCTGTATGGTGAGTCTGAGTCTCTGTGGGTGTCTATACATTTCCACACGATGATGATGATGATGTTATCAGCCACTTGGTTGAGCTTCTATCGTTTGTAATAGCCAGCACTACATAGCTCCTTACCTGGTAAAATGTATATCGTTCAGTTTAGTATTTGGGTTTCTGTATCTTTGTGGGTCTCTGTGTGTGTCTCTCTGGGTGTCTGTGGGTCTCTGTGGGTCTCTGTGGGTCTCTATGGGTCTCTATGGGTCTCTATGCATATCTATGGATCTGTGTGTCTCTATGGGTCTCTATGTATTTCTATTGGTCTTTGTCTTTACGATTCTTTCTGTATTTATATGGGTCTCTATGCATCTTTGTGGTTCTCTGTGTGTCTCCCACATCCCCCCACTAGGAACCCAGCATCCTCACCACAAACTCACAACATGGACCCACACACTCACCACGCACCCACATCCTCACCATGGACCCACACACTCACCACGAACCCACAACACGGACCCACACACTCACCACGCATCCACATCCTCACCACGGACCGACACACTCTCCACAATCCCACAACAAGCACCCACACACTTACCACGAACCCACAACATGGACCCACACACTCACCAGGAACCCACAAAACTCACCTCGTCAATAGTTTCGCTCGGATAGCTTCAGCAGAAGTTGTTCGAAATGCGACGATGATGAAGCTGAAGCAGCTGAAGTTTAAGAAGCTGCCGTCTCCTTCATGCCCGTCTCGTACTCTGAGGAATCACGTGGTGATTGCGACGTCACCGGGGCTGTCACAGTGCGAGGGACGTTGCCACGCCCCCTTCAGCCACGCCCCTCCGAGTGACGTGAGAGTGCGAGGCCACTCCCCCGGAAGCCGCCTCCCGCCACTCCTCTTTCGGCGACCCCCACCTCCACCCCCAGCTTCTACTTCCGCTTCCGGTCGGGGCGAATGGCGGCGATGGTGGGAAAAATCTGAACCCTGTCTGGGCCTCCTCGAGGTCGGCTCTGTGTGAGGTGAGTCTGTGGGTCTCTGTGTGTCTGTGTGAGGTGAGTCTGTGGATCTCTGTGTGAGGTCAGTCTGTGTGTGTCTGTGTGAGGTGAGTCTGTGTATGTCAGTGTGAGGTGAGTCTGTTGGTGTCTGTGTGAGGTGATTCTGTGGGTGTCTGTGTGAGGTGAGTGTCTGGGTCTCTGTGTGTGGTGAGTCTGTGGGTCTGTGTGTGGCGAGTCTGTGGGTCTCTGTGTGTGGTGAGTTTGTGGGTCTCTGTGTGTGGTGAGTCTGTGGGTCTCTGTGTGAGGTGAGTCTGTGGGTGTCTGTGTGAGGTGAGTCTGTGGGTCTCTGTGTGTGGTGAGTCTGTGTGAGGTGAGTTTGTCGGTGTCGGTGTGAGGTGAGTCTGTGGGTGTCTGTGTGAGGTGAGTCTGTTGGTGTCTGTATAAGGTGAGTTTGTGGATCTCTGTGTGTGGTGAGTCTGAGGGTTTGTGTGTGGCGAGTCTGTGGGTCTCTGTGTGTGTCTGTAGGTGGTGAGTCTGTGGGTATCTGTGTGTGTCTGTGCGTGGTGAGTCTGTGGGTCTCTGTGTGAGGTGACTTTGTGGGTGTCTGTGTGAGATGAGTCTGTGGGTTTCTGCTTGTGTCTGTTTGAGGTGAGTTTGTGGGTGTCTGTGTGAGGTGAGTCTGTGGGAGTCTGTGTGAGGTGAGTCTGTGGGACTCTGTGCGTGGTGAGTCTGTGTGAGGTGAGTCTGTGGGTCTCTGTGTGATGAGACTGTTCATCTCTGTGGTGAGTCTGTGGGTCTCTGTGTGGTGAGTGTGTGGGTCTCTCTATGGTGAGTCTGAGTCTCTGTGGGTGTCTATACATTTCCACACGATGATGATGATGTTATCAGCCACTTGGTTGAGCTACTATCGTTTGTAATCACCAGCGCTACATAGCTCCTTACCTGATAAAATGTATATCGTTGGGTCTCTATGTTTCTTTGTTGGTCTCTGTGTGGGACTCTCTGGGTGTCTGTGGGTCTCTGTGGGTCTCTATGTTTATCTATGGATCTGTGTGTCTCTATGGGTCTCTATGTATTTCTATGGGTCTTTGTCTGTACGATTCTCTGTGTATTTATATGGGTCTCTGCATCTTTGTGGCTCTCTGTGTGTCTCCCACATCCCCCCACCAGGAACCCACCATCAGCACCACGAACTCACAACACGGACCCATACACTCACCACGCACCCACATCCTCACCACGGACCCACACACTCACCACGAACCCACATCCTCACCACGGACCCACACACTCTCCACAAGCCCACAACAAGGACCCACACACTTACCACGAACCCACAACACGGACCCACACACTCACCAGGAACCCACAAAACTCACCTCGTCAATAATTTCGCTCGGAGAGCTTCAGCAGAAGTTGTTCGAAAGGCGACGATGATGAAGCTGAAGCAGCTGAAGTTTAAGAAGCTGCCGTCTCCTTCAAGCCCGTCTCATACTCTGAGGAAGCACGTGGTGATTGTGACGTCAGCGGTGCTGTAACAGTGCGAGGGACGTTACCACGCCCCCTTCAGCCACGCCCCTCCGAGTGATTTGCCAGTGCGAGCCCACGCCCCCGAATCTGAACCCTCCCTGGGCCTCCTCGAGGTCGGCTCAGCCTGATGATGCCGACACGGGGCTCTCTGTGAGGTGAGTCTGTGGGTCTCTGTGTGTGTCTGTGTGAGGTGAGTCTGTGGGTCTCTGTGTGTGTCTATGTGAGGTGAGTCTGTGGGTCTCTGTGTGTGGTGAGTTTGTTGGTGTCTGTGAGGTGAGTCTGTGGGTTTCTGTGTGAGGTGAGTCTGTGGGTGTCTGTGTAAGGTGAGTTTGTGGGTCTCTGTGTGTGGTGAGTCTGTGGGTCTGTGTGTGGCGAGTCTGTGGGGCTCTGTGGGTGTCTGTGTGAGGTGAGTCTGTGGGTCTGTGTGTGGTGAGTTTGTGGGTCTCTGCGTGAGGTGAGTCTGTGGGTGTCTGTGTAAGGTGAGTTTGTGGGTCTCTGTGTGTGATGAGTCTGTGGGTCTGTGTGTGGCGAGTCTGTGGGGCTCTGTGGGTGTCTGTGTGAGGTGAGTCTGTGGGTCTGTGTGTGGTGAGTTTGTGGGTCTCTGCGTGTGGTGAGTCTGTGGGTCTCTGTGTGTGGTGAGTTTGTGGGTGTCTGTGTGTGGTGAGTCTGTGGGTCTCTGTGTGAGGTGAGTCTGCGGGTGTCTGTGTGAGGTGAGTCTGTGGGTCTCTGTGTGTGTCTATGTGAGGTGAGTCTGTGGGTCTCTGTGTGTGGTGAGTCTATGGGTCTCTGTGTGTCTGTGTGTGGTGAGTTTGTGGGTGTCTGTGTGAGGTGAGTCTGTGGGTCTCTGTGTGAGGTGAGTCTATGTGTGTCTGTGTGAGGTGAGTCTGTGGGTCTCTGTGTGTGTCTATGTGAGGTGAGTCTGTGGGTCTCTGTGTGTGGTGAGTCTGTGTGTGTCTGTGTGAGGTGAGTCTGTGGGTGTCTGTGTGAGGTGAGTCTGTGGGTATCTGTGTGAGGTGAGTTTGTGGGTCTCTGTGTGTGGTTAGTCTGTGGGTCTCCGTGTGTGTCTGTGTGAGGTGAGTCTGTGGGTGTCTGTGTGAGGTGAGTCTGTGGGTCTCTGTGTGTGGTGAGTCTGTGTGTGTCTGTGTGAGGTGAGTTTGTGGGTGTCTGTGTGAGGTGAGTGTTGTGAGTCTGCGGGTCTGTGTGTGTGTCTGTGTGAGGTGAGTCTGTGTGTGTCTGTGTGAGGTGAGTCTGTGTGTGTCTGTGTGAGGTGAGTCTGTGGGTCTCTATGTGTGTCTGTGTGATGTGAGTCTGTGGGTCTCTGTGTGTGGTGAGTCTGTCTGTGTCTGTGTGAGGTGAGTCTGTGGGTTTCTGTGTGTGTCTGTGTGTGGTGAGTCTGTGAGTCTCTGTGTGAGGTGAGTTTGTGGGTGTCTGTGTCAGGTGAGTGTCGTGAGTCTGTGGGTCTCTGTGTGTTGAAGTCTGTGGGTCTCTGTGTGAGGTGAGTGTGTGGGTCTGTGTGTGTGGTGAGTCTGTGGGTGTCTGTGTGAGGTGAGTCTGTGGTTCTCGGTGTCGTGAGTCTGTGGGTGTCTGTGTGAGGTGAATGTGGGTCTCTGTGTGAGGTGAGTTTGTAGGTTTTGTGAATCTGCAGGTCTTATTGTGGTGAGTGTGGGTCTCTCTGTGTCTGTGTTGTGAGTCTGTGGGTCTCCGTGTGGTGAGTGTGTGGGTATCTGTGATGAGTCTATGGGTCTCTGTGTGGTGAGTGTGTGGGTTTCAGTGTGGTGAGTGTGTGGGTCTCTGTATGGTGTGTCTGAGTCTCTGTGGGTGTCTATACATTTCCACACGATGATCATAATGTTTTCAGCCACTTGGTTGAGCTTCAGTCATTTGTAATAGCCAGCGCTACATAGCTCCTTACCTGGAAAAATGGATATCGTTTAGTTTAGTATTTGGGTCTCTATGCATCTTTGTGGTTCTCTGTGTGTGTCTCTCTGGGTGTCTGTGGGTCTCTGTGGGTCTCTATGTATGACTAAGGGTCTCTGTGTCTCTATGGTTCTCCGTGTCTCTATGGGTCTCTGTGTGTCTCTATTGGTCTCTATGTATTTCTATGGGTCTCTATGTAACATTCTGGGTCTTTATGGGTCTCTTGAGTTTCCCTGGATCTCTGTGTGTCTCTATCGGTCTCCATATATCTTGATGGGTCTCTATGTGTCCCTGTCAGTCTCTATGTATCATTGTGGGTCTCTGTGTATCTCTGGATCTCTGTGTATCTCTGGATCTCTGTGTGTATCTATGGGTTTCTGTGTATCCCTGGAGCTCTGAGTGTCTCTATCGGTCTCAATGTATCTCTATGGGTCTCTGTGTGTCACTATGTTTACTATTGGTCTCTATGTGTCTGTATGGGTCACTATGTATCTCTATAGGTCCCTGTCAGACTCCATGATTCTCTTTGTATCTCTATGGGTCTCTGTGTGTCTCTGTGTATCTATGGATCTTTGTGTCTCTCTATCGATCTATATGTATCTCTATGGGTCTCTATGTCTCACTTTAGGTTTCTATGTATCTCTATGGGTCTTTATGTATCACTATGGGGCCTCTGTGTTTCTCTATCGGTCTATGTGTATGTCTATGGGTCTATCTCTAGATCTATGTGTCTCTATCGATCTCTATGTATCTGTATGGGTCTATATGTATCACTATGGGTCTCTATGTATCTCTATGGGTTTCTATGTATCACTATGTATCTCTGTGTATCTCTGGATCTTTCTGTGTCTCATTTGGTCTCTGTATCACTATGGTTTTCTTTGGGTCTCTATGGGTATTTATGGGTCCCTGTGTATCTCTATGGATCTCTATGTATCTCTGTGGGTCTCTACATTTCTCTATGTGTCTCTATGTATCTCTGTGGGTCTCTATGTATCTCTATGGGTCTCTACATATCTCTATGGGTCTCTATGTATCTCTGTGGGTCTCTATGTATCACTATGGGTCTCTGTGTGTCCCTGTAGGTTTCTATGTATCACTATGGGTCTCTGTGTATCTCTGCATCTCTCTGTGTCTCATTCGGTCTCTGTATCACTATGGTTCTCTTTGGGTCTCTCTGGGTATTAATGGGTCTCTGTGTATCTCTATGGGTCTCTATGTATCACTATGGGTCTCTGTGTGTCTCTATAGGTCACTTTGTATCTCTATGGGTTTCTATATATCTCTATTGGTCTCTGTGTATCTCTGGATCTCTGTGTGTTTCTATCGGTCTCAATGTATATCTATGGGTCGCTATGTGTCCCTGTCGGTCTCTATGTTTCTCTGGTTCTCTGTGTATCACTCTGGGTCTCTATGTATCTCTATGAGTCTCTGTGCATCTCTATGGGTCTCTATGTATCTCTATGGGTCTCTATGTGTCCTTGTCAGTCTCTATGTTGGTCTATGGTTCTCTGTGTATCACTCTAGGTCTCTGTGTGTCTCTATGGGTCTCTGTGTGCCTCTTGGGTCACTATGTATCACTATGGTTCTCTATGTATCACTATGGGTCTCTATGGTTCTCTCTGTATCACTCTAGGTCTCTGTGTGTCTCTATGGGTCTCTGTGTATCTCTATGGGTCTCTATGTATCACTATGGGTCTCTGTGTATTGCTATGGGTCTCTATGTATCTCTATGTGTCTCTTTGTATGTCTCTGGTTCTCTGTGTATCACTCTGGGTCTCTGTGTGTCTCTATGGGTCACTATGTATCTCTATGGGTCTCTATGTGTCTCTATGCACAGCAGGAAGTCAAGGATGGCCCTGGTGTACTCCCTCAACCGCCTCACGTAGATTCGCCCGATGCTCCCTTTGCTCATGACGTCGTAGAGGCTCTTCCTGGCACGACAACAACGACGACGCCGTTAAAACCCCTTTCCCGTTCCTATGACGTCCGCAGGGTGACCCACAACCCGGACCTTTAAAGGTCGTGATCTGACCTTTAAAGGTCGTGATCTGAGCGTGGCTTTTTTCACTCCAGCGCTGTCCTCCAGACAGTCTCGTCCCTTCACCTGATGAAGGCCGCTTGTGTTGTGGCCGAAACGTCGTGATTTTTGTTATTTTATTTTTTACCTACGTGATTTTACCCAATAGAACCAAAGAGTATGGATCCTAGCAGTCACGAAAGCTTTAAATCTAGAATAGTTAGTATTTTGTCAGCGAGTCCATAGTTAGTGGCAGTTTCACGGCTTTGCCTCCAATCATTGATGATCATTTTCCGAGAGTGCGGGCCACCGCGGAAGGCCCTCTGACTCACCACAAGGGCAGCGACAGCATCTTGACGGCCACGAGCGTTTTGGTTTTGTGGTCGAGGCACTGCAGCACCAGGCCCTGGCTTCCCTCGCCGATCATCTTCTTCACCTCATAGCGGTAGTGGAGCTGTTCCTTGCGGACCTTGGAGGCGAAGGACGAGGCGGAGGCCTGTAGTCAGAGTCATTGCAATCGGAGCGCCTAACGCTCGGTGGTGGTAGCAGCAGTCGGGGCTTCCAGGACCGCCATTATCCACCACGGAGGTTTAATTTTGCTTGGGTGTTAGATCGCGGAAATGTATAAATGTTTCGTTAAACTGCCAAATGCTTGACTTAACGCTTTCGTGACTGCAGGAATTAATATTCTTGGGTCTTTCGGTAAAGTCACGTAGATAGGTTCAAAGAAAATAATTTAAAAATAGCAGAAAACTACGACGTTTCGATCGCAATGCAAGCGGTCGTCTTCCTGTTATTTTTTTATTTTCTTTGAACCTATCTAAAGTACATTACCGAAAGACCCAAGAATACCGAATTGCGTTAAAACTTGGGGGAGTTGTTCGCCTTATTGCGTTTATCCATCTAACACTGGGTAGTGAGACACTGGTAGTGAGACACTGGTGGTGAGACACTGGTGATGAGACACTGGTGGTGAGACACTAGTGGTAAGACACTGGTGGTGAGACACTGGTGGTGAGACAGGTTGTGAGATACAGGTTGTGAGACACTGGTTGTGAGACACTGGTAGTGAGACGCTGGTGGTGAGACACTGGTGGTGAGACACTAGTGGTGAGACACTGGTGGTGAGACACTGGTGGTGAGACAGGTTGTGAGATACAGGTTGTGAGACACTGGTTGTGAGACACTGGTAGTGAGACGCTGGTG